CCCGGCGCCGGCCGTTGGATCAGAACCTGCACGCCGAACGGCGCTAGCAGCGCTACCATCCACACGACGGAAAAGAAGCGTCGTCCAGTTTTGGCGTCTGAGCTAGTAGTGCGGCGGTTGTTGTGAAGCACAGCATGTGCGCATGAACCGGCGTAGCTGCCTAAGCACTCTGGCTCGACGCACGACGCCTTCAGCTTTTCAGACCCACCCACGCCACCCTTAAAGGGTATTCGGCGGCGGTCTATCCTCGGCGGGCCGGTGCTGACATGCGCACCCGGCGCCGGCCGTTGGATCAGAACCTGCACGCCGAACGGCGCTAGCAGCGCTACCATCCACACGACGGAAAAGAAGCGTCGTCCAGTTTTGGCGTCTGAGCTAGTAGTGCGGCGGTTGTTCGCATCATAGCCCCTCGGGGTCCGTTGCAGTCCAGCAGGTTGTTGCGGGCACGGCCCTTGGTCGTGCGTGGCCGGCGTTACCTCAAGCTGGACCGGGAGCGGCGCCTTGGACCTCGCCGAAACCATGGGGGCGAGTCGTTTGGCCACTCCGGCTGCAGCCCATAAGCTTCAGGCAGCTTATTCACACTGACCCGCGCCAGAGGCAGCAGGAAGAAGGTGGGTGAAAGAACGAAACCCAAACATTGAAGATGCTGCTTTTCTCCAGGGACCTTATTGCCCACATCCAAAGCAGCGTGGTGCCTGTGCACAAGCCCAGATCGACAAAAGGCGACAGTCTACGGCAAGAGCGGTTGAAGGTGCCAGGCGCGGTTTGCACCAACATCCACACATGCTGCCACCATCTCGCGAACGAGTTCTGTGCGCGAAAACAAATGTAGCGGCCTTAGCACGCCAACCGGTGGCTGTGGTCCGGCAGTTGTTGGACCAGGCAGATCAAAGCATTTGCCTGTGAAGTTTTAACGAAGCAGATTTTCTTGAGCCTGGTTTTAAGGCCTAGGGTTTTTTTGGCGGCTTCACGGCGGTTCCACTTGCATTTTTTTCCCACAGTGGTCTTGGCCATACAATTTCCTGCCGTGGTCTCAATACGATTTGTATACGAGTTGCGGATACTGTCGGAAAGTAGGGTCAGCGTTCAGATGTAGGAACGGATACAGTTTTAGATACGGTATGGATACGGTTCGGACACACCTCGGGATACAAGCGGTAATACGGGTTCCGACATGTCTGCACCGGCCAGACCTGCGCAACTCAGGTATGCTCACTGTGCTCGCGGGGGCAAAAGCCTCGCGGAAAAACCGCGCAACAGCTCGCTCCAAGGGGCCGTCCATCGCTCTCATCAGGCCTGAGCGCGGGCAGACCGCGACGTGGTCCTTCATTTTTCTCCGACTGTTTTTCTTTATTTTGCTCTTGGTTCGTGTTTTATTTCTCTTTATGTGTATTTTTATCTCCTTCGTTTTTTTCGCTTCAGAGGTGAACCGTCGGCTGGGGATGGCCAAAGCAGATTTCGATGCATTGAACCGCGTTTGGAAGCATGCTCATCTGGCATGCGCAAAGAAGCTACAAATCTTCTCGGCTTGTGTGGTTTCCCGCTTGATGTATTCCCTTCATACAGCTTGGCTTTGTAAAGCTGACTTACGCAAAATTGATGCTTTTCAAGCTCGGTGCCTTCGTTCCATCCTCGACATTCCACACTCATTCATCAGCCACGTGCGCAACGAGACTGTGTTACAAGAAGCTGGCACTGAGAAACTTTCAATCATTCTTTGGCGCCGACAGCTGCTACTTTTGGGGCGCATCGCGCAACTTCCACGGGAGGATGTCATGCGAACATGTATTTTCCATGATGGGACGTTTCAGCCGCGATGGCATGATGGACTTCGGAAGCGAGGCAGACCCAAACAAACATGGCTTTCAGAAGTTTTTCGCATGGCTCTGGATATGTGCGGCGATCGGCTTAGTTTAGAGACCTTATGGAACCAAGCTCCAACAGTTTGGCGGCACAAAGTGCTCTCCTATAATTTCACACGTATGCCACATCAACGAAATGGTTGAGTGGCCTTTCATGCCCATGTGTCTCAACACGAGGCTTTGACCTGACCTCGTTTTTTTCGAATTTGTTTTGTTCTTGTTTCTGATCTGTTGAATTTTAGCTGTTCTAACGTGAATATGCGTTGCTTTGTGTTGATGAATATGCAATTTTTGTTCACAGCTCCCCTGCCAAAAGCCGAAGCATCCAGCTACACTTTGACAAGCGTAGTTGGAGATTGTGCTGGAACCGTGGCCAGAATCTGCCAGAATGGTGCACATTTTGCCTGGTCTGTCCATGCTTTCCGTGGTCATGTGCATGGCGTAGAGCCCGCAGGCCTTGCGAAACGCCATGTGCCAGCGAACGCAGGTGCTGCAAAACAAAATTGAAAGCACGTGAACTCATGCGCTGCAAAACGGCGACGAGCAAATGTCTCGAAAACAATAAATTTCAATCGAGGTAACCGCAGCATTCTTTTTTCCCGCGCCCTTTCTTGCGACTGCCCACAGTTGAGCTATTGCCCCGCATTTTGTCCCGTGCGCACGTACCTAGCCTTCTTCGGAGGTCGAAGCACTGTGCCGGTGCTCCTGTGACACGGCTGTGTCTAGTTGGGCCTCAAGGCCTGCTTCGGGCTTGTTTTCCTTTGATACTTCTACCTCGATTACCGATGCGGTTGAGAGATACGAAAAGCAATTCGGAATAACGTCCTCGCTGACTCAACCGAGCAGGGACCCCTCGCCAGTCGCATGCCGTAGGCCGTAGGCTGTTGCCTGGACGTTGGGCATGAGCACTGGGACCGCAGCGTGGACGGACGGAAAAGAGGTGGGAGGGGGGGGGGGAAATATATATGACTCTGATATGATACGGACTCGATTTCGATACCGGGGGCGACAGGCACGCTCTTGTCCAGAAGCTACCCTCCACCTGCGGATCGTGGGTTGGGGACGGCATTCTCGAGCTCCAAACCTTCCAAATCCGTGTCGGTAACCGTGTTTGCCGCGACTTGGAGGCCTCGGCGATCGCGGGGGAGAGCCTAGTCTCCGGTCCAGATGGGCTCTTCGCTGTGGCCGCACAGGTCCGAGATGTTGGATTGAGCTCGATACGCGCGTGCTCGTGCAGTGCTCGCTGGCAAAGGTCCAGCAGCTAACGGATTTGCCCACGGGCCATGACAACGTAAATGTCGTCGAAGTTAGCAAAAACCGCTTCGCCTTCACGCAATTGCTCGTTGACAGCAGCGAGGGCGGGGTGTTGAGCAATGGCATAGAGAGCAGGCATGAGCGTGTCGCCTAGCTCGGCTCTTTCGGCTTGCCGAATCTCGTGTGTGTCGCCTTGAGCATCCTGCCACCCGTATGTACTGTCGGAGGCGTACGACTGTCGCACGAAGGGCAGCAAGGGCTGTAGGCTCGGTCTGTGCATCAAACGAGCAAGTACCCGTGCGTCCATTTCAGTAGCAACACGCAGGAGACGGACAAGTGTCTCTGTGCCTGCCCAGGTGCTGAGGCCACACTGAAACGGCATGCAGGCGGCTCGGATGCGCACTCCTGTGCAAGGGTGCGTCCGACGAAGCGGCGTCTCCGACGACGAAGCAGCGTCACGGCCGTTAGCTTGCAGAGAGCGACTAGACGGCCAGCTCGAATGTGGAGGCTCGTTAGTTCTGTCTGACGGCCCAGCAGCTGTGCCTTGTCTTGCGTTTCGCAAGCAGGTGAGGAACGGCTGCAAGGGCAGTGCGCCTTCTTCTGCCAGCCTCACCAGCGCCGGATCGGGGGGCGCGTAAGGAGTCTGTGGCCGATTCGCCGGGTCGCAAAGCTTGCGGAGGGTGTCGGGAAAGGCAGGCGCAAGAGGCTCGATGACAAGGGCCCGCGCGGCGGCCGAGAGCTCCCCGAGGTGGACGAGTGTGGTGGCTCCTGCGGCTCGAGCTTCATCATCAGTCCGTCCGGGCGGCGCGTGCGGCGACATCGGATCGCATGGCCGCCTCAGCAGTTGCGAGCAACCAAGGCTAGTCACCTCGGCTCGGTCCAGCTCGGTATAGCAGGAACGCGAATTTCGCCGCGGGCACGGTGCAAAAGCATGCGGGTGGCGAGGTGAAAGAACCTCCAGCCGCGCAGTGCCGAGTCGGTGGAGCTTGCATCCGCGATGAGCCGGAGCCCGGCACGGAAGGCAATGCGCAAGGTGCCGCGGACTTGCACCGGCACGCTCTGTAGTGTGAGGACGCGCCTGCGCAGTGTCGCTGCGAGATCAGTGGCGGTCAAGCGATTATAGACCCGCGCGGAAGACCGCCTCAGCCGACCCCCCACTGGGCTGCCGTGGCGTCGGGCTTCAGCTTCCACGGTGTCAGTGTCCTGCGCAGCCGGCGAAGCGTGCCGGCCACGTCCTCGTGCCCGCCGCTCTATGTCGACGATGCATGCAGCGGCGGACCCCAGACAATCTGCAACAGGCCCCCCGTCCGCGCCGGGTGGATGTGTCCCATGAGAAGCAGCTGTGTGTTGGGCCTGTGGTGGGTGCAGCAGCGTCCTTGCCAGCGCACAGCTGCGGGCGCAGCATCAGCAGAGGCCGCTGCGCCGCTTGCGGCTTCCCCCTCTTGGTGACCACCGCGCTGCTTGTGCC